AAGGGGGCCCACACATAGTAGCCTTTTTCAGGCATACGCATGCTCCTGTCTACGTACCCCCCCGTGCTGTTAGCAGATCTACCATGCTCGTATCCAGGCACACGAACACCCTCCCCGGCTCGTCAAGCTATTGACAAACCATTAGTGGGGCATGGATACTCCAAATCTACTTAAGTTACTCATACAACAACGAGTGCAAGGGAAAAACTCGGCTATCCGGATCAAAAACCCTCGCCTACAACCTCAAAACATAAAAGAAACCGTCGCTATCACGAAGGATTCCAACGGCCGCACTATCAGGGCAGGACCAAGGCAGGACAGATTGGACAGGCCACGCTGATTACACACCCGAAGCAATTGGTCAAAAACCCTAAGCTCCCGCCGCGGGTGACCCCCCTGCCCAACGCTTCCTGCGTGACATACCATGGTCCGAGACGCGCCCAGTGCTAGAACAAAACAAAACAAACGCCACGAAAACGAGACCAGAACCCTACATCGGCAGGTTCATCAGAGCCTTCCGGTGGTACTCCATTTTGCCCCTCCCAAGGACCTTGGTCAGCATATCGGCGTGCTACTCTTCTGTCGAGACATAATCTGCGGTGATCTTGCCCGCCTTGAAGAGCTCGCGGATGAAGTGGAACCGCACGTCGATATGCTTGCTCCTCGCCGAGCTGAAAGGGTTCTGCACCAACGCGAGAGCCCCCTCGTTGTCCTCACGGACCCTGATCGTGGCACCGCTCGTCTCGGGCGCAATGAACGACAGAACACCACGCACGAACAACGCTTCCTTCACGCCCTCCCCGGCTGCAATATACTCTGCCTCCGTGGTCGACTGAGCCGTCACTGGCTGTGTCTTCGTGGATGCGCACACTACGGTCCCACCTACAGTCACGGCTAGCCCCGTCGTCGAACGCCTGTCAACGGTGCTGTCGGCGTAACTAGAATCGACGAACACGTCTAGGTCTAGCCCTGATCCGCGGACGTAGGTGATCCCGAGGTCCTTCGTCTCGTTGAGGTAGGACAAGATCCGCACAAGCGCGTTCCACTTCCTCTCGGTAGGTGAGTGGGCGATCTTCTGCAGCTTATTCAAAGGCAGCGCGATGTCCGGTCTCGTGAACAGCAACCACATCAAGCATCCGATCGCTTCCCTCACGGGCTTGTCCACCGAGGACTCGTCGTCTC